TCTGCTTCGAGGAACTGGGATCCCCTCCTGGACGCGAACTGTAGAAGGGTCCCTTTGCTGTTGCGATTGGCCTCGTGGCAAGCCCCCGTGCCCCATCTTCTTCTCGCTCGCCGATCATCGAGTCCACGCGCGAGAATGCGGCCTCCAACCAGCCCCAGCCGGACAAGGTCGACTCGCTGACGTCCTCGAGCTTGGCCCACGTCGCCAAGTCGAACTGCTTCAGCACCTTCTCGCCCCCCCCCAGATGACCACGCCCGCATTCTGGCCCCAGAGCTGAACAGCTCGTCTCCATTGGCGGCAGCGGCTCCAGCCAGGCGGCGCTGGCGGGTCCGAGTGGTCGCCTCTGCTCGAGCCTCCAGCGCCCCAGTCGCCGATCTTCTGCTTCCACGGGCCCCAGTCGCCGTCCTCTTCCTGCCACTTCGCGCGCCATCAACCAGTCCCTGCAATCGCCAATCAGCCGCGTCTGCTCGGGCCTGTCTCCGCTCTGGCCAAAATGGCGCCGCCCCCAAGGGTCCGTCTCCTCCCGAGACTCTGGATGCACCCCGGGGGCCGGCGGAGACGCTGACGACGGGGGAACTGTCGCTCCCCCGCTCGTGGTCGCAGCGTCCACTATCTCTCAAAAGTACTCGAAGCCCCTTGGCCTGCTCTCCCGTGATGGGGGGGGGGGGGGGATGACGCGCCGCCGCTGCTGCTGCTGCTGGCGCGAGCTGCCGCGGCGGCAGGCTTGCCGAAGGGCGGGGCCGTGACCGCTAGAACGTCGGCGCCGCCGTCCGTCTGCTTCGCGCCCTTGCTGCGCTCATCTTCGGGCTTGCCTTCGCCCGACATTGCCGTGGATCGCCCCCCGACTCAGGGCGGGGCCCTCTGCGCGCGCTCCGAGCTCTCGAAGTCGCGACGCGGCGCCGCCTCGCAGCGCCCCGTGGCTAATCCCCGACCCGGAGCCTCACCGCGAGGCTCCGCTGCCATTTGTGGCAGCAAGTCCGAAAGCAGCGGAGCATTTTCTATCTTGAGCCACAGTGCTAATAATCACATCTCTCTGCGCCCCCCCCCGTGGCGCAGACAGCCCCCCCCGCGACGCTGAATGCAGCGTCGAGCCAAACCTACGCGATGCACCTGAAACGCACGAAACGAGAGGGGCCCCCACGCAAAGAGCCCCCACCGACCAGCGACGACCTCGAAGTTGACGACGGAGAATCGGTCGGCGCTCGTACCTTTGATGCCAATCCGAAGGGACCTTGGGCAATCGACGACGAAAACGACGGGCCGCTACCACCGCGAAGAAACCCTCATTGCGGCCCTGGATGTACCGGGGGATCGCCATCCTCATCAGCACCAATAAATACGAAACGGCTGCGCCAGAAGACCGACCTGTGGACGCCGCAAGCCCGACGATATCCAAGCATCCAACCATCCCAAGCACTACCTGGACTATCACCACCAGCTGAAGACCAACAGCCTGTCCCGACTCAGCTACGCAGAATCGTCGAAGAAGACGGGGCAGCCCCCATCGAAGTCGACGGGGCGAATCCCCCCGACCCAGCTGGACACGAAGGTATGGCGCCACGCTCGTCCCAGATACCCTTTCCTGAGGGTTCTGAGGCCGGCGGGCTCGCTGTCGACGAGGAAGGATTTTCGAACCTCAGTCAGAAGAGGGCTCCAGATCAAATCGAGATGTCTGAGCGCACGTCCAAGAAGCTACGGATCAAAACCACTTCGCCCACTACATCCGGGCAGGAACACTTTACGGGGCCTGCACCTACAGCGTTCGGCAGTACCACGAGGTCAAGGAAGACGACGAACTCATCGCGTTGGAGATCCCCGTGCCTAACCAGCACGCCTTCACGTGTTATATCTAATGGCCCGAGCAAATTCGTCGCATCCTAGGCTCGGAAAGGCCGAGTGGAGGTTTCGCTCAAGAAGGCTACTCCCGAGGAGAAGAGGATGCTGCTCGGAACTCAGCAACAGAAGTGCACCTCCGTTCCCAGCACCCAGGTCGCGCGGACTCCGAGCAGGAAGGGTATAGACCCGGCACGTGCACAGCGCTGTCGCTTCGTGCTGACGTTGAAGAAGGACGAGAATGGAAAGGTTCTACGAGGGAAAGCACGACTGGTCGTACTCGGCTCTAGTGACCCCGACTGCTACATCTCTGGGCGGAATCCCCAGTTGCATCGAGGAGAGCGAAACAACTACTGCTGGCCATGGCAGCCAGACGCACATGGAAGCTAGAACAAGCAGATGCCGCAATAACTTGTTTATAAGGTGCAACCGACGAGGAAAAGCGCAATATCCACGCGGACCTGCCCAAGGATTCAAGACAATCTTGCGGCGTGAAGGATGAACTGGTCCATCAATTTGTCTAGCATATGTACGGGTTCGTGTATGCTCCTCGCAACTAATGGCTCTACTTCAAAAGGACGCGCACGAAACTTGACCTCGAAGTTCTTCCGCGCGAGCCATGTGTCTGGGTTATCAGGGACGACGGCAAGTTAGTCGGCAGGGTGATACTACGCGTAGACGGCATGATGGTTGCCAGGTCCCATTCGAACGCGATGTTTCAGAACACGAAGAAAGATATTCAATATGCGTTCGACTGGACACCGTGGGAGCACAAAAACTTCGTCCAGTGTGGCATCATCATCCGCCAGCACGACGATGCCACTCGCAACCTTGCCCAGGGCAGCTACAGCCTGAACGTGGACGCCTTGGACGCCTGACGATTGAGATCAGAAGGGGACGGGAGCCTACGGAAATAATCGCCCAAAAGGAGCGCACGGACCTGCGTGGACGCCTTGGTACAGCTGGCTGGATAGCTCAGCAGTCGGCAGCGTGGCCCAGTGCAGGAGACTCTCGACAACAAACGGAGATTCCTACGGCAACAATGTCCACGACCCTGAAGACCCACAAGCTCATCCGCACAACCAATGACACCGCCGACGTTGTCATGGTCATCCCCGCCATCGAGAACCCTGCCGTGGTCGGCTGGGGCGCACGTTTCACTGGATAACCTCAGGGCGGGGGTCTGATTATGATGGCGCCGCGTTCATTCCTAAGCGTTTCTACGGAAACCGTGGCACCGATTTCATGGAGATCCTGTTAGCTACCACGAAATGCGAGAAGCAACACCAGCGCTGAAGTGCAGCTGATGACGGATACCCTGGACGAGATCAGCTACGTGCGCTTGTTCATATACGAGCTGGAATGCGGCCCTGTGGAATACACCAGCAAGCAGCACGTGAACGACACCAGCCCCGGAGTGCTGGTCACAGGCGGGTAATCGGGCTACGACGCGATCGATCGAGTGTCTCGGCATCCGACACCAGAAGCAGCTGACTGGACTCTAGATTCGCTGGGTTCACAGTGACGCTATGCTAGCCGATGGGCTCACCAAAGATCGTGCAGCTACAGTGCTAATGGAGTTCATCGGTTCAGGACACCGCTGGAGGCTCGTGGACGATCCTCTACACCGCAATGCTCGGAAGCACAAAACGGAGGGCATCGACACCCACCGAGGACGAGCAAGAGCAATTGCTGGAGGGACTTGTCCTTTTCGCCCGTGACAACGAGGTCCGGCAGGCGACGCCTGCTGGAGATCATGCCCTGTGGGGCACAGTGAAGTCTCTCCCGCGCACAGTGCTTTCTGTGAGTTCTAAAGCCAGCGGAAAACTGCGATGCCGTAACATCGAACCTGAACGTTTGGGCATGCAATTCACCGCCCCTCGCCTGCCTTCCTGGTGCCTACTTACGACAGATTGCCCCAGGAGGCCGTGCGTGAGAATTCCCCTACACACATAGTTACGTATCATGTCTGGGCTCACCAAGAGCCCTCTCTTTATGTCCGCGTCTCACGGCGTATCGTGTTCCCCATTGCGTTTGCGAACTAGCCGTGCTTAACGGTATCCCCGAGAGCCCTCTTGAAGCCCCAAGCCCGGGAGGCTCGCTAGATGGTTCACATCTTTTCGGGACGTTTCTTCCGAAACCGTTCTGGCTCAAGCCTTTGCTGCAGCAAGCAGCTGCAGGACTGTCTGACGTGCGGCCGAGAGCCGCAGGACAGCTATTGTGCACTCTGCCAATAAACAGTACTGTCCCATCGTCATGAGTCTGACCAGCATCGCACAAGACCCTGCCCCACGATATCTTACCTCGCGTGAAAACGAATATGACCAGAGGAATGTACACGAGAGAGTATTACCGCACGAATTGATAGCAGGGCAGCGGTCAAATCGAGACCATTGCTACCTCCTCCCTCCCCCTCCTCCTCCTGCTCCTCCTCCTCCTCCTCCTCCTCGTCCTCCCCCTCCTCCTCCTGCTCCTTCTCCTCCTCCTCCTCCTCCTCCTCCTGCTCCTGCTCCTCCTCCTCCTCCTCCTCCTCCTCCTCCTCCTCCTCCTCCTCCTCCTCCTCCTCCTCCTCCTCCTCCCCCTCAATCCCTCCCTCCCTCCCTCCCTCTCCTTCTCCACCTCCATCCTCCCTCCTCCTCGGTATGCCGGTATGCCGCGGCACCTGGCGGACGCTAATCCAGAGCCAAAGCGGCGAGAGCCAGAGTCGGAGGGGCGGGAGCCCGATCGGAGGGGAGCAAGAGTTGAGGCGAAGGCGAGGGGAGGGCGGGCCTCCCCCCCGCGAAAGCCGCACAAGCGGGGTGGTGCTCGGGCTGGGCGCCAGCCCCATGGGATAAAACCGCGAGAGAGTGCAGGGACGGAGGGAGGCCGCCTGCTGGACCAGCCCAACCCAGTCCTCACCCCGTTTCCGTGCCCTCCTCTGCCCCCACTCCCCCCCCCCGCCATGGCTCCCCAGGACCACCCTCACATACACCTCCTTACAGCTCACACCCCATCCACCCCCTGGCCCCCTCCTCTCCCGCCCTTCCCTCCTCGCCCTCCCCTCCGATCCTCCTCCCACCTCTCCCTCGTCCCCTCAATTTTCCCTCCCCCCTTCGCCCCCGAGACCACTGGCGGTGGGGGTCGAAAGGGGGGGGGGATCTGGACTGGTCTGGTGCAATGGCGGTCTCCCGATGGAGGGACATACAAGAAAAAACGCTGCGAGCAGAACGGCCGCGGAAAGCAGCGAGGATGGGACATGGAAATGAGGAGGGGGAGGAGGAAGAGGAGGAGGAGGAGGAGGAAGAGGAGGAGGAGGAGGACGAGGAGGAGGAGGAGGAGGAGGAGGAGGCGGAGCAGGAGGCGCAGGAGGAGGGGGAGAAAGAGGACGAGGACGAGGATCGGGTGAGGTGGGGGAGGGAATGGGAGGGAGGAGAGAAGGGAGAGATTTGAGGGGAGGGGGAGGACTGGGAGGGAGGGAGGGACCGAGGAGGAGAACTAGCAGAAGGATGGTCACCAGACCGACCCGCAGCGACAGCGACAGAAGGAGGAGGAGGAGGAGGAGGAGGAGGAGGAGGAGGAGGAGGACGAGGACGAGGACGAGAATCGGGTGGGGTTGGGGAGGGAATGGGAGGGAGGAGTGAAGGGAGAGATGTGAGGAGAGGGGGGGGACTAGGCGGGAGGGAGAGACGGAGGGGAGGAGAACTAGCAGAAGGATGGTCACCAGACCGACCCGTCGCGAGAGCGACAGGAGGAGGAAGAGGAGGAAGAGGAGGAGAAGGAGGAGGTTGAGGAGGAGGAGGAGGAGGAGGAGGAGGAGGAGGAGCAGCAGGTGCAAGCGGAGACAACTGCTCCAGGTGGGCGTGTGCGTATCCTGCTGGTGCTCCTCTGCTGTTGCTGTGAATGTTCTTCCTCAGCAATGGCTCGTCGCCCTGAGCGGCGAGGGTTTGCCCCGCTGATTAATCCGCCGACCCTGTCGGCGTGTGACAGGGGCTGTTCCGTCGCCATCGCCGTCGCTGCCGCCGTCGCGTCGCCGTCGCCATCACGTCCACTCCTTCCCCTGAGTCCGTCGCCGCTCCCCCACTTTCCTTGGACCCTCGTCCTCAAGCACGCCAGCCAAAGCGAAATACACCAGCCCATCCACAGCGAAATTAAGCAACGTTGTCATTGAGTCGAAAAGAAAACCCCTTCCCTTTGATTTCTTCCCCGCGGAGTCGGGGGGCGGGGGGGGCCCGGAGGTAGCCCGGGAGGGGGGGTCCCCAGGAGGGGGGGTCCCGGGGGGTGGTCCCGGGAGGTGGTCCTGGGTCAGAGTACCACCCTCCCATTTCCGTCGAGGGCCGGAGCCTCCAGGGTCGGCGGCACTGGCTGTAAGGCCTTAACAAAAGCTCATGCTGCCTCCCCCTCCCCCTCCTCCTCCTCCTCCTCCTCTTGTTACTCCTCCTCCTGATCCTCCTCCTCCTCCTCCTCCTCCTCCTCCTCCTGCTCCTCCTCCTCCTCCCCTCCTCCTCCTCCTCCTCCTCTCCTCCTCCTCCTCCTCCTCCTCCTCCTCCTCCTCCTCCTCCTCCTCCTCCTCCTCCTCCTCCTCCTCCTCCTCCTCCTCCTCCTCCTCCTCCTCCTCCTCCTCCTCCCTCCTCCTCCTCCTCCTCCCTCCTCCTCCTCCCCCCCCCCCCCCTCCTCCTCCTCCCTCCTCCTCCTCCTCCTCCTCCTCCTCCTCCTCCTCCTCCTCCTCCTCCTCCTCCTCCTCCTGTTTCCAGTTTCCAATTTGCGCAGCAGGATCCGCAATCCAGAGAAAGCAGAACCTACAGCAAAAAGAGAGAGGGGAGGGGAAGAGACGGTCATGTCACACTGCGTGCCGACCTTTCAGCAGCGTGCTACGACCGAAGAAATGACGTCTCGCACTCGGATCGCGGCCTTTTTAAAGAAGGGAAAGAGACCGCGCAGCATCATCGTTACGAGGCCGCCCGTTGCAGCGGCCTGATAACAAGTGCATACGCTGCCTCGCAAACGCGCCGCAAGCCGAACACCAGACGATGAGGATCGGGGCACTGGAATCTCCCGCCCACAATTTGTGGGAGGGATGCGCTATACGAGCTACTCTGGGCCACCCCTGGCACCTGTAACTTGCCAGCGACGAGTAAGTCCGCCCCGTGTCCATGCAACGTCCACACAAATAGCCTTTACCCCATCGCAGGATAATGTGGCCATTAGGTTCAGGGACTAGGACAAGACCAGACGGCTTCGGCTTACTCTTGCGGGCGACCACTTTGGTAGCATCGCGAATTGTCGGCTTGCACACTCTTTCCAAGACGAGACCTGTGAACTTTGCCAGGGATTCAATCTTATCTCGCTGCTTCTTATACTGCTGCACAAGAGACTTAGGGTGCGGGGTCTCAGCAGCGGCATCCTTAGCCGTGCGATCCGCCACCCTGTTTCCCTTCCAGGCCCAAAAGGGGACTCCTTGGTGAGACGCAGCAGGCCAGCTCTTGTGCTGGAATTTTGAAAACCTGGAAACTTTCGGCCCCCCGATCCTTGCGCCGAAAACAAATCTCGCTCCAAAACTCTCCATGCGGGATGGCGACGGTGTCAAAATCGGCCCCTTGGGCCCAGACTTTCAACAAAGCCTCGCAATCGGAACCAACAAGACAATCGTCTGGGCCCGAGAGCCGAAGACACATCAGCATCGCAAAGACTTCAGCACCGTATATCGAATGCAGCCCGTGTTCAAGGAGGCCGCGCGCGGACGCTAAGACGCCTCCAGCGTCATCGACAACCACAAACGCCCACGCAGCCCTCGTAAACAGGGGCAGCTCAGGGTCCAAGGCAGACCCGTCCGTGCCAGCGCCAAGGACTGACACCGCGCATCCTGGGCGCGTGGGCCACTACACACTGCTGAAGACAACGCGCCAGCAGAGGGTCATCAGGGTCCCTAGCCTGCCACTCACGCAGCAGCTCGTCGAAGCCGAGGCCCCTCCGAAACTCAGCATGGCCGTCACAGCAAAAGATTCGATGATGCCGGGTGCCCCTTGCTCCGTGGCGCACTTGGCACCTGGGATCTAAAACTTGTCTGTCCTGGAGAAGCTCGGCCTGCGGGACAGGGCCCCCCGCCACGTGCGTGGCCAGCAAGCCGGCCTGAAGCGCTTTGCCCGAGGACCGCAAATCAGAACAAACCTTAGCGAGAGCATCAAGATCAGGCCGAGAGTAGCTGAGGCTACGGCACTCCCAGCCGACATTGGCTAAGAGCGCATCCTTAGTGCCAGCCTTAATTACCTGGACAAGCGCGCTTACGAACCTGATCCAGATCCAGGGCGAGACCCGAGGGCAGGGCCCAGCGCGAGAGGCCCCGAGGGACCCATCCAAGCCGACGCAACGTAAGCAGCACCGCCCCCGTAGGTCCCTTGACCTTGCTCCAGGAAAAATCATCGCCAGCATTCAGGAACATCTGAACAACAAAATCCATTTGGCCTCTAGGCGCCCAAGATTCCCAGAGAGCTCGACCCCAGGCCGCCAGAGGTGAGACATTACTCGAAAAACATCAGCCTCAGGGCCCGGGGAAAGCCATAACTGCATAGTGCGAGACCTACCCCTGGCAGGCCCGAAAAGACCCAAACCTACTGCCGCTCGAAGTTGCTCCAGCCGACTGTCCGAGAGCCCCAAGATGCTAGTCCCATATGATCCTGCAAGGATCGCTCCAGACTTGGCGATGAGCGTGAGCTTCCTGAACTGAGACTTGAGCGACCGAAACCTGCCAGCACGAGCTCGAACCTTGTGAATCCGCTGAACTTGGATGCCAACACGCCGTCCGCCAGCGCGCCCCTGAGTGAAGTCGACGCCGAGGTTCTTGACATGGCGAGCACTTTTGAACTGCCACTGCCGTAGGCCATCAACAACTTTCTGCGCCAACCCGCTGGAAGAAGCCGTGACCTTGCCCTTTGCACGAGAAATGACCAGCCTGTGCGCCTCCAGTCCACGACAAAGAGCCCTGGTCGCTGCAACAGACGAAGACTCCACAAAGCGAGCCGTGCCAACCACATGCGTAGTGATGTCGTCCACCACATGTAGGAAACGGCAACCAGGAAATCTCCGATTGCAGTCACCGACCACTTCCAGAATCAGCACGCGCAAGTGAGAGGTCGCATCCCAGCAGCCTGCAATGATGGTTGCCAAGATGGTGACACAGCGAGAAGCTCGCCTTCCCAAAAGAAGCACCCGTGGAGCCCGATACACCTGCAGGCAAAGCCGAAGATGAACAAGGGGGTACTTCAGGCGCCGCGCTGCAGCAATGAGCTGCTCGTGTCGGAACTTCTCATAGGCCTTCGTGAGGCCCACAAAAGTATTGGCAGCGCCAAGGCCACGAGCCACCGAATGCCCGGTAGAGAAGGCCTGTTCCCAGACAGCGCGCTCGCACGAGCGGCCCTTGGCCCCGTAAAGATAGGGCCTGTCATACTGGGCCACCCAGCTGACCGCAGCACCCCTGGAGCACTTCCCCCACAACCTGAGGACCATGCCAATGAGGCCGATCAACCTGGTGCCCCCCTCAGGCTTAGACAGGGAAGGCATCAGCACGAGGCCCAACTGAGTTGGACGCATGCCCGTGCGTAACAGCCACCCCCAAAGCAACAAAGCCCCTCCAGGCAAGTGTCGGGTACCAAACAAAAATCGCGCGGCCCAAGACGATCCACCCCCAAGGCCGTCCAAGATTTGAGCTTTCGGACAGCTCTGCGAATTGCACTCGGCTCGAAGACAACCCTCGGGCACTCCTGGCCTTCCAGAAAATTATTTAGCTGCACCATGCAATCGTCGGGGTCGGGGTCTCCAGAACCGTGAACATCCCAGACAGACTCTCAATGCTTCAAGTACCCCTCAAGTTGTTCTTCAGGGCCAGGTGGAGCTGGCCCCCCATGCCGAACATGAATGGGCCTCCAACTTACAGGGCCCCAGGTATAGCGATGGGCCCGCCCACCTCCATTGGCAATTGCCTCTTTGACGAACTGCCTCCACTGAGCACCTCTCGACCGCGAAACCGGGGACTCGAGCCGAGCAGTATGCCCAACAGCCTGCCGAGAGAAGTCGCACAACTCCTCAGCCGTGAAGTTGGCCCACTCAGCTGCAGGGCGACAAAAGTGGGTCCAGGCTGGGGTGCCTCGGATCTGCCCAGGGCCTACCGTGACCTTTGCCAGCAGGCATGACGCGA